TCAACCACCGGCAAGTCCAACAAGAGCTCACATAGCCATTCTGCTACTACAGAAGCTGTGTCAAAAGCAGTAAGTTCGGCTTTCAAGGTTGACCTCATCAAAATGACCTGTTTGCTAGGCCTCCATGGCTCTGCACCACCTCTAAGAGTAAATACATACCATCTAGTGGCGTAGAGTTCATCAACGTCAAATATCCATTTAGGCATTGTATCCCTCAAGCATATTGTTGGGTGCCCAGAATAATGAATTCCATAGCTCATTGTACCTTTAAGATAATGCAAGACCCTTTGAAGTGGATGCCAATGATCATCACTTGGGTTGGACATGAACCTACTCAATCTACTCATAGCAAAAGAGATATATGGTCTTGTTGCGCTAGCTAAGTACATGAGTGAATCAAGAATCGAGAGTGCCTCCATTGTTCTCTAGTCATCATTGGTAATGTCCTGAAGAGGCAATCATACTTGTTATATGGATTGGGCCCATAATGGGCTAAAACATAATCCCTTAGGGGCATTAGTATACTTCTAATGGGCTTTTAACAAGGGACAACTTTAAAGCCCACGAGTGGAGGTAAATTATGTAACATTAACTAGTACCATATCACTAGTTGATGTTGAGATAGGGAGTTATCCTCCCTGTATAAATGTACCAACACCCAATGGGGAAGATAACTCTTGGTCCTTCCAAGTCTAAGCTTAAGCCCCCTTTCTCACCCTCTAAGCTGCATGCCAGATGCTAGCACACCGACGCCCAGTGTTCCATCTCCGCACGTCACTACTACAAAAAAACTTAACCACAACCTTTTCAAAAAACCCTCAGAGGCGGGAACAATTTTGAATTGCCTCGGTTAATGCCTCAGATTAACCAAGGCGTCGCTTTTAATTAACCGAGACGGTCACTTTTAATTAACCAAGGCGGTTACAAACAACCGCCTCGCAAAATCGATTTACGGTAACCGCCTCCTAAAATCTATTAACCGGCCCACCTCCAAAAACACCCCTATTTTTGGAGGCAGGCCTTTTTATTAGGACCGCCTCAGTTAATATGGCTAAGCCCACCAAAAATCCACCTCGGCCCATCCTGGCCTGACACCGCGTCACAGTATATATATTCAGAGAATGAAACCCTAAGCCCTCACTCTCTCCCTCACCCGGCCGCACACGCCCCTCGTGAAATCACAACTCCTCTCGGTGTCTCCATCGTGAGTCACGACTGCCTCTCCCTCGCGACAGCACTCTGACCACCCTCTCCCTTGTGACACCACTCCAGCCGCCCTCTTCCTCTCCCTCTCCACTCTGGCCTCCCTCTCCCTCTCGCTCTCCACAGCCTGGGGCACGGCCCCTCCTCCGGCGACGGCGCGGCGCGGTGGGCGCGGCACCTCCTCCGGCGACGGGCATGGTGCGATGGACATGGCCCCTCCTTCAACAACGGAGGCACTACGAGTGGTCGGATCTATGGCGGGCCCACTTCCGGGCGTGGTCGCGGGCGAGGCGAGCTGGGCGCGGCGGGCAGCGCGGTGGCGGGCCCGACTGAGGCTGCGGTGGGCTCCTTCCTCTCCCAGTGGTGGCACCTTCCTCCCCTAAGCTCCTCCACTAGCAGCGGCGCGCCCTCCTCCCCCATCTCCTCCTCCGGCTACGTGGTGGCCGGATCTATGGCGGGCCCACTTACCGGCGGCGGATCCACGCCCGACTAGGATGGATCCGGCGGTGTGGCTGCTGGATCCGGTGGCTGGGAGTCGGATTCGGATGCGCCCTGGCCTCCTCCCCTCCCTCCTCCATCGCAGCGCAGATCTGGCGGGGAGGACGCCTCCGGCGGTGGATCTGGCGGCATGGTGCCCCCTAGTGGTGGATCCGGTGCGTGGCCCAGCCTCCTCCCCTCCCTCCTCCACGGTGGCGTAGATTTGGGGGGAGGACGCCTCCTACGGTGGATCCAACGGGATGGTGCCCGCCGGCGGTAGATCCGGTGCGTGGCCTAGCCTCCTCCCCTCCCTCCTCCACGACAGCGTAGATCTAGCGATGGTGGCTCCTCCCGGCGGTTTTGCCCCATGGGCTGGGAACGGGCTCGTCGGTGGGCTCGAGAATAGGCTCACCGGCAGGCTCAGTTATTTTTTTTTTTTTTTAACTGATTAACCGAGGTGGGTAGGAAACCGCCTCGGTTAAGGCCACATTAACCATGACCTTCACTCTAAGGCGGATGGCTTGCCCGCCTCGGTTAACCCCTTTTGCCCACATCGGTAAAAAATAGTGTAGTAGTGAGTGTGGATACTATGGAGACACTGCTATTGTTGCTGCAGCATCGATCGACAACGAACACGAGGCAAGCGGACGTGTTATTGCTACTGGTATGTGAGGATGTATGACTACTTCCACTACAATGAAGCGTGACGTTGGGCTGCTACAACTCTGGCTATGCTGTGCGTCTAGTGGTAACGATCGATGATCCTCTACTCGCATGTCGTTATCTTGGTTGAACATGGTAGATCTGCTAGTGTAGCATACCCATTTCCGTACACTATCCTCTTGTTCTTTTCAATGTTACATTGGGATCATAATGTGTTGGAGAAGGTTTGCTATCCATATACCCGAACTGGCTTAAGATCTTCTGAACATATTGAGATTACAACAAAGTAATCTTACTCTCATCCTCAATAAGCTTGATGTTTAGAATCACATCAGGTTCTCCTAGATCTTTTAGGTCAAAACTCTTTGAGAGAAAAGAATTTGCCTTATTGATTGCATCAATGTTTGTGCCAAAAATCAGAATATCATCAAGATGCAAACATAGTGTAACAGTATGCCTCCACCATGGCGATAATACACACATTTATTAGCCTTAGTAATGGTAAAGCCGGCAAAGGTTAAAGTTCTGTCATACTTCTTATGCCATTGCTTGGCTGCTTGTTTCAAGCCATACAAAGATTTCAGTAACCTACACACCTTGCGCTCTTCTTCTTGTACTACAAGCCCATCAAGCTGATCCATATATATTTCCTCATCCAACTCATGTAGGTTGTATTCACATCCATTTGATGAACGAGAAGACCATATGAGGCAGCCAGGGAAGTAGCACTTGAATAGTGGTCATTCCAGCAACATGTGAATAAGTATTAAAGAAATCATTGCCTTGCTTCTGGGTATAACTCTTAGCCGTAAGCCGAGCCTTGTACTTGTCAATAGTACCATTAGGCCTAAGCTTCCTTTTGAACACCCACTTACAGCTCGCAGGTTTACAACAATTGGGTAACTCAGTTAATTCCCAGGTCACATTAGAAAGGGTCTAGTCCATCTCATTACGGACAACTTCTATCCAATCATCAACATTTGGATCATGCATATGCCTTTGAAATAGACAAGGGAGTATTGCCCACAAGGTACACAATGAAATCATCACCAAAAGACTTTGTAATCCTTGTCTCTTGCTCCTCACAGGAGCTCCATTGGCATTCTTCTCAAGGACTTCCTCATGTGGATGCTCAAATGACTCAACAGGAGACTTGATAGGTGTAGTAAAATGTCAAGCTATCTTAGAAGAAAATCTAGAATTTCTATGCATATCGTCTTTCGTATTTAAATATATTCTAAAAATATAACATCATGAGATTCCATAATTGTATCAACATGCATATCAGAAACTTTAGATTTTACCACTAAAAACCTATAGGCAATGCTCTATTGAGCATATCCTAGAAAGGCCATCCATAGCCTTGGGTCCAAGCTTGCGCTTCTTAGAAATTGGTACGTTGACTTTCGCCAAACATCCCCATGTACGCAAGTATGAAAGTGACGGTTTCCTTCCAACCCAATCCTCATATGGGGTTGTCTCATTATTTCTATTTGGAATTCTATTCAGGACATGACTCGTAGTCAATAAAGCCTCCCCCACCATGCCTTAGAAACTAGCAGTGTCTAATTTGGCGTTCACCAAGTCATTCAAAGATGCGACTTTTCCTCCGGGCAATCCTGTTTGATTCGGAGATTTAATAGGGAGGCTTCCTTTCATGAATAATGTCTTGTTCCTTAGAATCCATCAAACAATCTGGGAAAATACTCACCACCATGATCCATCTTTAGACGCTTAATCTTCCTCTCTAGTTAGTCTCAACTTTAGACATATAGAATTTATAGTAGTATAGTGTTTCATCCTTAGATTTGACCAAGTAAACATTGCAAATCTAGTTGTATCATCAATTGAAGTCATGAAATATCTCTTTCCACCTTTTTTCCCTATTCATCTCGCATATATCAAAATGTATTAGCTCTAGAGGTGCCACATTTCTCTCACCTCTACCTGGTGAGGCTTTCCAGGTTGCTTTGATTGCACCCAACTATGGCACTTAGAACCTTTGACAATAGTGAAATCTAGAATTAAACTCATGATGGACAATCATAACATCAAACCAAAGTTAACATGACACAAACGAGAATGCCAAACACTCGCATTGTCATTATCCGTGCCACAAATATGGTTCACTGACTTATTACAAAAATTTGCTGAAGAAAAGCGAAACAAGCCCCTGCACTCATAGCTTTTACCAATAAATTGTCCACGCTTCAACACCACTACTTTAGTCGACACTAACACTACCTTAAACCCGTCTCTGAAAAAGAAATCCCTTCTTTTCAGAAATCAAACATGAGAAAATTCAAGACTATGCATGCTCGGTGAAATTGAATACTCTCTCTTGTGCTAGAATTATGTATCCACTCTGAAGATTACGTGCTACTGTGTCATGCAGTGAAGATGGGGAGTGCTTGAGTCGAACGAAACCTGAAGAAAAATACACTTTTTTTTAAACTGACGTTATGGTACAGAGAGATAGGCTTTTGTTGTGTCAGCCTTAGACACTAGGGTAAAAGATATTCATCCTGCAAGACCAAAATAGGAACAGTAAAATACAACTACTCAACTAGAACATTTTTTTTGGACAAACTAGAACAAATTTTGAAGTATACGATATCAAAGTATAACGGACGTTGCTAGTGTTACCTCAGTTTTGACTATGATATATATGCTTTCTTGATTCCGTGCAACCTTGCAGTGACTTCCTGCATGCAGATGCGCTCATTCGGGGACGGCTTGGTGCAGAGAAGCCCAATGTTTAGGACTGAAAGCAAACACTCCAAGCTTTTCTCCTTCATGGCCACTGAAGTTTCTGGACATAAATGTTGTTGCTCTACTAGTAGTTCAGGATCTATTATCTGTGGTATCCTGTCAGGAAAGTTCATCTCAACAAATTTTGTAATGTTCATCTCACCATTGAACATATCATCAGTTGGCCTCCTTCGCAAAAATATTTCAAGTAGAACAATCCCGAAGCTGTATACATCCCCAGCACTTGAAACAGCTCCGCCTGCAGCACACTCTGCAGATTGCACAAAAGAATTGTTTACTCCAATGATAAAAGTACATGAAAACATTACGCTGCATGAAACTTGGATTACCTGGAGGAATATACCCTATTGTTCCCATAATAGCGACAGAAGACGACATTAAATAAGTGGAGGACGATGCTGCAGAGTCAAACTTGAACCTTGCAAGACCAAAGTCTCCAACATGTGCTGTCATATTGTCATCCAAAAGAATGTTGCTAGGCTTCAGATCACAATGGACAATAGTTCCTTGGTTGCCATGGTGGAGATACTCAATAATGCATCTGCGACATCCACTGCAATACTTAACCTTTGAGCCATTGTTATGTGGCTTCGAGTTGATGTGTTCCCATCACATTGAGTCGAGTATAGTAGCTCATGCAAGTCACCTTGTGTCATGAACTCATAGACTAAGGCTTTGAAATCATTTCCATTGGAATCAATACTAGAGCATGCAGTGAGTATAGGAACTAGATTTCGGTGCCGCACCTTTCGTAGAGCATTACATTCTGCATTGAAGCTCTTTTGTGCCCCCATGTCTCTAGGCGAAAAACTTTGACAGCAACCATGGTTTTGTCTTGGAAGAGTTCTCCTTTATACATGGAAGAATATCTTCCTTTGCCAATCAAATTGCATGATGAGAACCCGCATGTTGCTCCAGCGAGATCGTTGTATGAAACTTTGGGAAATTTGCTACTGAATGAGGGCAAAGATAACAGATTTGTCTTTTGTTTTCCTCTCCAGACAACCATTACAGTTATGACTATAGCAAGGGACAAAATGCAAGATAATGGGATCACTACTTTTTGTACAATGGAATGCCTCTGCTTACTTGAATTAGCAGGCATGACATGGCATGCGAGTAGGTGTAGCTCCAATGGCCCACCACAAAGCCCTGGATTTCCATCAATCCTCACAGCAGTCACATTACTGAATATCCCTTTCAATGGGACCTGACCGCTGATGTTGTTGAATGACAAATCTAGTTGCTCAAGGTATTGGAGGTTTGTGAGGGACATCGGTATTGACCCGGTCAAATTATTGTGAGACAAGTCCAGAACTTCTAGACCCCTTATGTTGCCTAGTGAAACGGGTATGCTTCCTCCGAAACTATTCTGTTGCAACCCTATGTACTGCAAGTTTTCACAATTACCTATATTGGTTGGAATGTCTCCAAACAGCATATTTGACGAAAGATTCAAATATATGAGCTCCTTGGCATAGCCTACTTCATAAGGGAGTTGCCCATGCAGGTGGTTTACAGATAAATCAATATGAAGGATTGCTGGAATTCCAAACATCTCTTTGGGAATACCACCATGAAGAAGGTTATTTGAAAAGTCACATAGTTGAAGATTTTGAAGATTTCCTATGCTTGCAGGTAAATGCCCTTCGAATTTGTTGGATTCAAGATAGAGATATAATAGCTGAGACAAGTTCGAAAGGGATGATGGAATAAACCCTGTGAAGTTGTTGTTACCTAAATTCATCACTTGTAAACTGTTTAGAGTTCCAAGCCATTCTGGAACCTTGCCTGTAAATTGATTCCCACCTAGTCCTAACCACATCAGGTTGCGAAGGTTTGCGATGCCAGAAGGAAAACTACCTGATAATTGATTATTCCCCAGTAATAATATCTGCAGTTCAACAGAAAGGTTACCTAATGAAGTTGGTACGTGGCCTTCTAGCTGATTGTCAAATACTGATAATCCTTGTAGCTTACTACAGTTGCCTAAGCTGTAAATAAACTCCCAGTCTTGACTGTTACGAGCTTTAAGTTTATTGAACTCAAGATTCAGCCCGTAGAGATTGCCAAGTTTGCCAATGGAACTAGGGATCACGCCAGTGAAACTGTTGTTTGACATATCAATCATGCGCAGATCTGATGCATTGGCCAACGAGGAAGGGATGTGACCATGGAAAAAGTTGTAGTCTATTAGAAGAATTTGGAGGTTGGGAAGAGAGCTACCTAGGCCAGGTGGCACCTCGCCGCTTAAATCGTTCATTGCAATACGAAAGGAAACGAGGGTTGAAAGATTCAGGATGGCCTGTGGAAAACTACCTACCAAATGGTTGTCACCAGTGTGCAGACGCTGTAGCTCCGGAAACTTCGCAAACTCATGTGGGAAGTTTCCCTCAATGTTATTGTAATTGAAGCCCAACACCTTAAGTGTTGTGATATTGGCAAGAGAAGGAGGGATGGTGCCTGAAAGATTGTTAGATCCAAGCTCCAGCTGTTTAAGTCCAAGTGGCAGGTCCGGAAATCCTCCAACGAGATTGTTCCCATTGAGCCATAGTATCTCCAGATTGGAACAGTTTCCAAAAGTAGGTATAACTCCATGTAACGTGTTGTTACTCAAGTAGAGGGTTTGGAGGCGATGCAACTGGCCAAGGGCTGCTGGGATTTGTCCACTGAATCTGTTTGTTGCTAGGGACAGCTGTTTCAGGAATGTCAGGTTTCCGAGCGAAGGAGATATTTGGCCGACTAAACCTCGATTTCCAAGATCAAGATTAGTGACACGATTGCTTGTCGTCCTGCACGTGACACCTTCCCAATTGCAGAAATGAGTGCTGTCATTCCAAGAAGCCAATGCTTGCTGTGGATCCAAACTGATCGAGTTCTTGAATTCAAGCAGTGATAGTCGATCTGTTTGGTTCCCAGGAGTGGTGTTGCTGCTGCTGCGGGTGACAGCATGCACGCTGCAAGCCATGAGCACCAGAAGAAACCGTCCAGTTGCAGCAGCCTTCATGGTGATAATAATAAGATAAGCAAGCGGGGTGAAAAATTCACAAGTGCAGAATTCCAGCGGCTTCAGCTTTCTGTCCCTACCTATTAAATGCAAGAGATGAAGATCAACACCAATTCCGACCAAAGTACTAATAACCAAAGTACTAATAACTTCAAAGTACTTCTAAAATTAAAATTTCAGAAAATAATAATGTACTTGTGCGTAAAACAAATTTGCATGTGGAGTACCTGAAACTAAAATAATGTCTTTCTTCTCGATTACGGGAACCAGGGAACGTATCTTATGGTCTTCTGTTCAGCAGTTATCCGTACTGTCAGAGAAAATCCAACTGCATGATGACGATCAATTATATCCTGCATCCAGAGTTTACAAAAATCAAAACCTTGCCGCATACTTACAATGATACAAAGATCAAAAGAAAACAAAGGCCCCGCTGACCCACAAACCAGAGAAAGAAGCGGTCACCTAGTTATAGAAATCGACATGCTTGGATCGATGCCCAGCAGTCGAAGTCGGAGGGGTATCGCCGGCGAGGAAGAAGTCACCTTCTTGCATGGGACACACGGGCCGGTCGAGCTAAAGGGCAGCTACAGCTATGAGCTACCCCTTCTTGTGTGGTTTGTGGTCTGCACACTGACTTTTTATTTCTGGTCCTGTTTAGTTCCCAAAAATTTTCACCACAAACTGTCACATCGAATCTTGCGGCACATGCATGGAGCATTTAATGTAGACAAAAAAAACTAATTGCACAGTTTGGTTGGAAATCGCGAGACGAATGTTTTAAGCCTAATTAGTCCATGATTAGCCATAAGATGCTACAGTAACAAACATGTGCTAATGATGGATTACTTAGGCTTAATAAGTCCGTCTCGCAGTTTCCAGGCGAGCTATGTAATTCGTTTTTTTATTAGTACCCGAAAACCTCTTCCGACATCCCCGAAACATCTGATGTGACATTCAAAAAATTTCATTTCACGAACTAAATGCGCCCGATGGGTGCCATTTTTGCCCCTTTCATGATGCCTTCTTGTAGAGACTAGAGATAACGGATGGGTGCTCTACGGCCACATCATCAAATATTGGCCATGCTTGCTTATGCTACAAGCAGCCCACAGTGGCTGCAGCTTATAGCTGAAGCTAGCTACAGTACCAAACAGGCCCACTGATGATCGATCCCCCAGCAACAGGACGGCAACTTGCGCCATGAGCATAAGGATGCATCGTCCATAATTGGGGGTCACATCGACAGATCAAAGACGCCGTTAGGTGGCATTTTCTTCTATTTATTAGGACCGTACTGGTGCGTGCTACCACTACCAGCACTAAGCGCCGAACTTGCACTACGTCGGAGAGAGTTCGTAGAGGCTGCTGCAGCGGGTTCGTAGGAACGGCTGGGTCAGCCGTCCTACCCATTCATCTCTATAAATCAACGATCTCTAGCCGCCCTTAGAAATTATTTTGTAGGGACGGCTAAATATTTGTAGGGGCGACTAGAAAACGATCTACCTCTACAAATTCTTGCCCAAAAATGAAGAATTCGGATCCAAAAAGTAGCAAAAAAAATTATCCGAGGAGACACCACCGGGCAGCCACACACGTGCAAGTCGCAAGTCAGACAATTTTTTGCATGAAAGCCCAAAAATGAAGAATTCGGATCCAAAAAATAGCAAAAAAATTTTATCCGAGGAGACCCCACCGGACAGCCACACACGTGCAAGTCGCAAGTCACACAATTTTTCGCGTGAAAAACACGCACTTCATGGCCACCGGGATCAAACCCGCAACATTATCTCACCTCGCGTGTTACTCCTTTAATTACTCCAACCCATACTCCCTTGTGTCCATATGAAATATTCTCCCTTTTTTACTATACTCATTTGATTTTGAAATGAGTGTTTGGGACCCTAAACGATTTAAAATGAAAATGTTTTCAACTACAAAGGTGTATAACTTTTCGATATCTACAACTTTCGTTTTGGTTGTTTCTCAATCCGAGGTTGTTTTAAAAATTCGAATTTCAAATATGAGAAATCCGAACGTAATTTTCCCTGGATAGATGATTTCAAATGAAAAAGTTGTCAACTACAAAGTTGTATAACTTTTCGAGATTTATAACTTTTGTTTTGGTTATTTTCTCCATCTAAGGTTGTTTAAAATTTCAAATTTCAAATGTGAGAAATTGAAATGTAATTTCCTTGGATAGATGATTTCAAATGAAAAAGTTATCAACTACAGAGTTGTATGACTTTTCGAGATCTAAAACTTTTGTGTTGGTTGTTTTTCCATCCGTGGCCGTTCAAAAATTTGAATTTCAAATGTTAGAAATTCAAACGTAATTTTTCTTGGATAGATGATCTCAAATGAAAACGTTCTCAACTACGGTTTCTATCTCACGCCAATAAATCAAATGCTGTATACGGAACGAACGAGGGCAGAAACAAGCAAAGCAGGTGTTCTCACGGCGGCCTAGGTGTTCTACAATTTCCAACCTTCCGTCGGTGAGACATCCCATCAAGAGAAAATAGCACTTAATGCGCCAGATGTGACATGAAAAAATAATGGCAGATGCCGCGTGAGAGCTCTGCTTCTTTCTGCCCTCCTTCGTTTCGTTTACTGCATTTCCATTACACTCTCCGTCGAGAAACACTGTCGTTTTCGTTTTCCAAGAGATAACTTTAACTAAATGTATATTAAAAATATTAATATTTATGGTATATAATTAGTATAATTGAAAAGATCTTTGAATCTAATTTTTTAATAAATTTATTTGGAGATACAAATGTTGCCCGTATTTTTTACAATCGAGACAAACTTGCGACACGGACAAAAAAAAAACGACGGTCTTTCTGGGACGGAGGGAGTATATTCTTATTGTGGGTCAATTCTTCCCTTTTGTCCTTCCCTTTCGTTGAGGGAGGGCAGAAAGAAGCAGAGCTCTCACGGTGGCACGCCCTCACACGGCTCTACCGCGTCGTCTCCACCGAGTCAAGTCTCCCCTCACGGCCTCACCAGTGAGCTCCAGGCTCTCGCTGACCGCGTGGTCCATCGGGCAGGTGTGTTCTTCCTCTGCTTGTATAGGCGCGGATCAGGGTAGTTAGATAACGCAATAGCTTACAGACCGCGCAGTCAGGTCTATCACCATCAAGCTGCAAAAATCAAACAACTAACAATAGCTTACAGATATACCATAAGGTAGAGATCAAACTGATTTCAGTAAATACTAAATAATTGTTCCATTCAGCAAATATCCATACAACAAAGAAATATAGAACAAATATTAGCCGGTGCCGATTCCATGGCCATCAGATTCCATGACATCCGAGGGGCAGGCATAGGTTGCCTTTCCATTTTGGATAACATTGTAATAGTGAAGATACTTGCTGCATGTAGCAACTGTTGCCTTCATAGCTCTGGTCTTTGCAATATCAATCCAAGGAGAAAGATCAATAAATTCTGAGATGTGTAAATATGAATCTCTCGGGCATTATACTTTTACTATCCCTTTGTTAAAGAATAAATGAGACTAAAGGCACATCACCAATCATGTAATCCTATATAGCAAGATGCAGCAGCATATTCAAAAAGGAAAAGAAACATTGAAAACAGAAGCTGGATGTCAATATGCAAATAATTAGAGAAGGATACCGAATAAAAACATAGATATCAGCTGCTGACCTTTTAGCATGAATTGTTGATGTGCCTTTCTTATACAGCATTAGATATCCCCATTTTTAGAGGTGGCTCTATATCAGGGGCGGTTGGATCTAGCCCCTAAAAATAGGGCCATTTGTCGTAGGACAGCTCGCGTACCTCATTCATCCAACGCTTGACCATGACGCTGGGACTGTCATGACCCGATCATGACATGTCTGTGAGCATAAGCATCATGATCAGCATATGCATTTGAATCTCAAGTTAAGAAAACAACTTGCATTGAAATCTGCATTTAGACTGCTCACTGTTAGTTTGACAGAGAGCCCGCCACCACCAGCGGACGGTCTGTCAACCTATCTGCACGGCCTAACAGAAATGCAGTATGTCAGTGTAAACTCGACACTCACCGGAGAGTCCGCCAATCCAGTGGATGTTCCGTCAAATCATCCCATGCATGATTTGTGAGGTGTCACTTTGTTAACCACCTAGGTCCCACAGCCAAGGCAATGTGTCCATCTCGTGTGAGCCATCAGCAGAGGCAGCTCTCAGCCCTCACTCTCCCACTCTCACTCTCACTCTCTCTCTAGTTTCTCTCTCTACTCTCTCTCCCACACAAGGAAGAAGAAGGAGAAGGAAAGGAGAAGGAAAGGAGGAGGGATTGGATCTTGCAGCAGCTCAAGATGATGATGGAGGTCACTTAGACGGCCAGCACCACAAGGGGCTAGGGTTGAAGGGGGAGGAGCCCTCTCACCCTTGCCATTGGAGCATTGGAGGAGGAGGAGAAGGCTTGAGCAAGAACCAAGTCACCAACAGGAGATCTAGCTTCTCTAGCACCTTTGGGAAGCTTGCCATCTTCTTTTGCAAGCCTTGGTATGGATCAATTCGAGCTCAAACTCAGTTTTCACTCTCATGAGCACAAAACCTAGGAAATGTCAATTTGTGACCAAAATTTAGTTTGCACACCTTTTAGCTAGAGCCAACTAGCTAGATATGCTCTATATAACACCAGCAACTTATCCTAGAGATGGTTTGCTCATGCAAGGATCCTAGATAAAGTTTTGAGCTTCGAGTTGTTCAGTTTGGCCACTGTCAGTGAACTGATGGAGAGTCCGTAGATCCTACTGGAGGGTCCGTCATCACTAAAACCCAACTGTTTACACTTAAGCAGAGCACATTATGATTCAACGGAGAGTCCGTGGAATCATATATCTGAGTTAGAGAGCCTAAAGCTACAGACTTGTCTCAGTGGAGTGTCTGTAAGTTTCACTGGAGTGTCCGCTGATGATTAAACCTGATTTTTACGGAAACCCGAGAGTAGCCAGTTCGTGGCGGAGGCTTCGTCACTC